TTGTTTTTTATTGGCTTTTAATATGAACATATAAAAAGACACAAACAAATCTGTTACATCAAGAACTGCAAGCCACTGCCCATGCTGTCTTAAGCACTGTAACAAGAGGGGATGCCTCCATTCCCACAACAAAACCCCATTTCAACCTGGCTACACAGAGGACGTCTTTACCTCTGAGCTGGAAATATATTTTGTCATCAATCACCATCCATTTATCTCTTAATTATAAGCAAATGTACATTTATCCACATTTCTCTAATAGATTGATCTAGGTCTCTAAAAATGGAAGTCTATTCAAGAGGTTCCTTACCTTACAAATGTGGTCAAATTTAGGGGAACATACTACATTGCGGTCTTATTATGTGAAATTGTCAACTGCAGGACTGACTATTCTTTAAAAAAAAAAAAGGGGGGGGAAAAAGTTGGGAGTATCATGAAAAGATGATGGAAGACCATGTCGACTCAAAGGCGAACCAAAAATTACAAGCAATTTGACCCTTCCTGGCGATATTCTTCTGTTGAGACATTCCCAAGAACAGATAGGATACAGTACTGAGTATTCAAGTCAGAATTCAGGATTAGTTGGAAACAAAAACCTTTAAAATTGCCACTAGTGAGCTTAGTGCAGTGATTTTCTCTGGAATCTTTGAGAACAAGGACAAAAAGTCATTTAGCTATTTATCAATAGTCGTATATGTAATGAAAGTACATCTGAATTTCCAGATCAGAGATCTGACTGCTTTACATGACCTGAAGGTAATGCTGGAACCTGGTTTGAGAGTCAAGACAAGTAGAACTAACACGTCATCCCTGAGTCCTCATCAACAGATCAGCCGCCTGGATGTGCCATTTGTTTGGTTGTTTAGCCAGATTTTCTTTCTTTCGAGGTTTAGGTCAAGTCTGTATAGTCCAGACTAAGCGCCCTTATATTCGGCAAGTGGCTAAAATTGCGAATACAGCAGCAGGCCGTGAGAGGACACAGCGTTATCCATCATCACAAAGCAACATGCTGGAAACTTGTGAAATCACTGCGAAATGTCTCAAAATGCACAAACGCAATTCAAATTAAAAACAAAAAAAGAAGCAAAAACTGTTAAATCAATAAATACTCATTCTGACAACAAATTGAGGAATATTTAAGAACTGCTCATGTCTCCAAGTCCACAAAACACCACACAAATTTTAACACCTGCACAGCCGGTTGAAATGAACAAACACAACCTCCATACGATGGGCTCAAACAAATCAGCCATTCGTTAAAAAGGGAAAACTAGAGTGAACTGAAAAGATCAGGTTTTAAAATAAATTTAAGGTATCATGCCAATAACAACTGCTCCCCTGCTAGATAAACCGATTTACTACAGTCATGTCTAGAAGAAAAAGAAAACAACGTGTTGTCGTCTCCTCAACCTGATTCCTGTGTAGAATTTCTCAAGTCGTGACATTAGCAGCCTTGTGCGGATCACAACAACTGAAAGAAAGCAATAAATGACATTAAGATCTGCAATTTTCTATTAAATGATCAGAAATAATACATTGTCATTATTACATTAGATATCGTACAATATTTACTCGCTGACTAGCATCTCAAAAGGACAGTTGATGTCAAAGCTTCATTCCCTCTGAATGAAGTGTCGATTTGCGCACGCATTCAGTTTAGTTCACGCTAGTTGACTGACAGACTTGACCGGAAACTCGTTGCTAGAGTCAGAATCATTTTTAATATGATGCCTAAATGGGCAAGCACAAAATAATAATTAATGCTTGATGCCTCTCCAGTGTTGCTGTACAAGAAAAACAAAAGGGATCGAAAAACAAAACTAGAAGAAAAAAAATAATTTCATTCAACACCCTTTCAATAACCCTCTGGTCAAGCCTGCTGTTAGACTGAGGTAGGTTGTCAACTTCTGTGGACAAATTAAAAACAAAAATGAGAAAAATTTGAGGAAATTCTTCAGTAATGTCTCCAAATCACATTGAAACGATCAGCTAATATATATAAACATCTTATGTGGAGGACTAACAGAAAACACCTCTGAATAGATTGCAAATAGTCGTGTGATCTCGACCAAAGGAATGAACTTTTTGGAGATACGGTAGCTTTTCTCATATTTTGAAAGCCTAAAACAGGCGAGATCTTAAATTTCCCAGGATGTTTAAACCTGTCAGAACACAAAGTGGAGAGGAAATCGAGGACAATAGAGCAGAATTGAAGGTGGTGTTAATCTTCCATGGTCTTTAAAGGGAGAATCGATATTAGGATGCAGTGAATGACTGGGAATGGCTTTACGGGGCATCAACAAGTTTGTCAACACGACGCCCGACTGCTCCAGAAGTCTGCAGCGCATGAGATTGCGTGTCTGTGTGCGTGCATGAGTGTGTATGCATTCGGGAGAGGATACAGGGACACGTTTCTTGAATTTCCAAGGCTCATATCCCATCTACACCCCCCCTCCCCCCCAACAAGTCTAAGTGTCCTGCTGGTCTCAGTATGCGGTGACCAGGTCTTTGTCATAATCGTATCTGCCTCGTTTGGGGGCGGGGCTGTCCTGGCTGTCGTCCGTGTCCTCGCTGTCCTCTGCCCCACCCCCTCCTTCTTCCTCTGACGAGTCGTCCAGAGTCAGGTCCACAACTGCTCCGCCTCCCGACCCAGCACTGGTGCCGCCGGTTCCTGCCGACGCACCTCCCGATCCGGACTTCCCGGACTGGTTTGTGCTGCTATGTGCTGGAGAGTGCCCGTTCGCCTCAGGAACACCTTAGACAAGAGTTAAGTCCAGTTAAATATTTAGCTTTGCTTAAAAATGCACCATATTACGCTAGTCAAATGTATGGACCCTTTTCACAGACTGATGTGCAGTTATTAACATAATTCAAGCAAATTTTTACATTTTTTTTTTAAGTACATTAAAATTAATTTTCTTTCAGCCATTCCATTCCATGGCATTTTTCCACTGTTGGTACAGCTCAGTACGGTTCGGCGCGGCATGGTTCGGCTCGCTTCACTTTTCCACTGCGTGGTACGACTCGACACGGCTCGGTTCGCTTTAGCTCGGTTGCTTTTCCACTGCAGTTAGTACCGCTTTAAAGTGGGTGGAATTATAGACTGTTCGATAACAGCGGTGGCTGTTACTGGCTATTTAAATCTAGCGGTTTTGGTTTCTCGTGTCGCAAATACAATGACACTGGTTGTGACGATTCTGTCTGACCAATCAGTGGTCTGCAGTGTTACACGTCACATTTTAGTACCGGTACCGTATGCTTGGAACCTCAACAGACCACCAGGTACAAAAAAGGCTTTAGCGGGACAAAAATTTGCTTTGGCAGCTGCCAAAAAGCGGACGATCTGACGGGTTTTATTAGATTAAATACCTCTATTTGAGAACGGCCTTTATTTACCCAAACCTGCAGCCACACCAGGCCTCTATTTGAGACTCGGCTATTATTTGATGTTAGAAGTTATTCCTGACCAACATAATCAAATCTCTATTTTTTTTTGTAAAATCATTGGTCAGCGACCATGTTTTTTTTTTCTTGTTGCAATTGGAACAAATAGGAATGCAAAAACTATATTTGTTGACCACTATTAAGTGTACCCAGCTATGACTTCATTTCTGAGAACCCCGGAAATGAGAAAAGGGTCCATTGTAAATGCCATTTCAGAAGCCATAAAACCTTCTTACATATATCTACCACTGGATAGTCGGGCGAGCGACTGTTTTCCCGGTCTCTATCCTTCTCTTTGTCGTCCCTGATTGGTCTCCATGAACCGTCAGTCAAATACTCAATCTCCTCCACATCCTCTGGCGTCTCTTTAAGGATCTCAGACAGCAACCTGAAACGGGTCACAAGGTGAGTTTCACCGCCAGAACCAGCCAGAAACAAGAAGTTGCATTAAGTGTGATTACCCGTCAATAGTAAGAAGCTCAAATGGAGCAGGTTTGTCGCATACAGGGCAGGTCCATGTGGGTTTCTTTTCATTCATTTGCAGGAAGAAAACAGCATCGAAACACTGCAGGTGGGCGCAGGTGAGCACTCGACACGGCACTCCAAGTCTCATCTTCACCAGCTGCGTTAAAGAGACACTTATTAGATCTACTAACATTGGCACACAGATTGCACATAAAATTAAAACAGGACACTTACAGGGCAGATGAGGGACACTCGCAGCCCTGTAGTGGCGATCTCACTCTCAGGATCAAAGCGCAGCTTGTCCTGAACTGTGTACAATCCAAACAGTTTCAATAAAATATTGATGCCGAGTATACACACACATACACACAAATGTAAAAACATTTTTGAAAGGAAACAAAAAGGATAAGACTAGGCTACATTTGTTTTATCAAAATTCAGTAAAAACTGTCATATTCTGAAATATTAATTTAAATTTAAAATAACAGTCTTATTTGAATATATTTTTTAAAATGCAATTTATTCCTGTGATAAAAGCTGAATCATTACTTCAGTGTCACATGATCCTTCAGAAATCATTCTTATGTTCTGATTTGCTGTTACATGAAAAACATGTATTATTATCAATGTTGAAGACAGTTTAACTGTTAAGTATTTTTGTGGAAACAGAGAAAAATTTAGTGTTTTTTGATGAATAGAAAATTAAAAGAACATGATTTATTTGAAATATAAGAATTTTGTAACATAACAAAAAATCTCCACTGTCACTTTAATGCACTTGCTGAATAATATTATACATCTTTAAAAAATACGTATTACTGACCAAAAATCAATAAAGGTTATATGAAAATGAAAACTTTTTCGTTGATAATTATCATAAGCCTGATGATGCCTAAATAAATATAAAAATTATTTAAAAGGTACAATAGTTCAATACAAGGAAAAGAAGTTGGAAGAGTCAAGTACAACACAGTTTGATTTCAAAACATTTGCTTTTTAAAACTTATTACATGTCAGGGTTTCAAGGTTTAGTCAGGGCAACGGAACTTACTGCGTTCGCGACAACGATCGGGACTCTCAACTGAGCAATGTTTCAGCTGGTTGAAGAGCTCTCCAGACGTGAACACCCTCACCAGATACACTGCGACAGAATACCGCTGCATCCAAAACATAGCGGTTGGCAATAACACACTCAACTGTGGCTAAACCAAGCATCATTCATCTAACGTGTTCATTCACAAATATGGATATGAGAAAACAGCTCTTTGTTTCAAGTCCCTGTACCTTTCCAAAGTTGCCCCACGTGATGGTGACTCTGTTAGTGACTGTGGAGAGGTGTAACCAGGGCGTGATATTGACGGGTCGACAGGGCCGACGCGGCTCCACACCCGGTTTATTGGAGGGATAGTAACCCTGAACAAAAAAATGATTAATTCAAGATTTACATCATTCTAAGAAACAAAAATAACACACAAAAATGTTATTTATAAACAGTGGTTTAGATTTGCAATCATCTTCCCTGCTCTCACAACTTACCGGTACATGACAATAGGACTGGTTTACTTTCACAGCAATATTGGGAGGATACTGGTCCTCCTGAACACCGATTGAGTCTGTGTAGCAGATTCTAGGAGAAGAAAAGGGCATGTCAGCATGCAGAAAATGACCAAAACTTGATCAACCAATAAAATGTAGCAGAACGACATACCTGAGAACCACCTGAACTGATTTCATCCCTGGGCGAAGTTCACTGAGAATGAGATTCATTTTTAATGAGTGAATACAATTAAAGATACTTAATATTCTTTTGTATTTTGAGTAAACAAGAAAATCCATCAGCCATGTAGACTCATTGGCTGATATTTGGCCATTTTGAGATTATCAACATTATTCAATAATTATCACCATTGAATAATGAATACCACATAATATTACATAGTAAATGGGTGTTTAATTTCCACAATATTGCGGGTCATTTTGTAATATTCTTTGAGAAAATTTGGTGAAATTGTGTCTGTTTAAACTGTAAAAATAAATATTATTCTGGCACACTAAAAATGTTAAGCCAGGAATAACTGTAAATAAATGTAGCAAAAATAATAAATTAAAAAAAATGCAGGGAAGAAACTTGTGAACAATGGGCGTCTGTGACAATCACACTCATTTACTATCATTAAATACCTTTATATATAACCTAATATCCTAAATACCATCATTGTTATTGGTCATGGGTTGATTGCTAAATGAAGCCAACAGTTTGACTGCACTTCTTACCTGGCGTTCCGGATCTGTTCCACTTGGCTTGTTGTTAATTCAAAAACACATTGACTCTCTTGCAGCTTCTCACTGTTCTGAGCGACTGCAAAGAGTGAGAAACTCAGAATTATCTCGCTGGCTGACTTCATCATCGGCTAGGCACACCTCTTAAAATTGGCCTATTATTTATTCATGACAATGGCACTCACTCAGTTCTGTCGGCGGCAGCAGCGTTTCTAGGTTGTGGTAGAATGGCAGGGGCACCAGTTTGACTTCGGCCGCAGGAGGCGGCACCGGTTTGGGGATGCCGTTGAGGTAGTCTGTTCCCTGGGCCGTGCCTCTAGGCGAGGTGTTTAGGGCAGGGTAGGTTACGGGCACCGAATCCGGGCGTCGGGCAGCCAGCCAGGCCGAGGCTTTGGGGAAGCGCGTCTCGTAGAGCTGTCGGACGTTCTTTAGCAGCTCTGGACTGTACTCCGTTTGCACAAGCCGAAGAGCTCTTCCCACTAAATCCTGCTTCAAACCGCTTTTACTGCGGCCCATGGAGGCCAGCAGTGTCTGCAGATCAGACACCCGGAAACTCTTTACCATGTTCTGGCGAGAATGAGAAAGGATTAAAAAAAAACACCGTTGTTAGCGAGATGTGCAGCAGCATATAGTTCAATATCTGTTGTAAAGGTTGTGGGTTCGATTCCCAAAAGGGAACAATGCCCTTGAGTGAAGGCCTGTTTCATACCAAGCTTGATTGTTCGGTTCGATATTTGCATATGATTTGTCTGTGGCAGACTGGCTGAATGAGCATGCAAATTCAATCTCTGACAGTAGGTGGCGTAATAAAAAATAGAAATACAGTGGTTACCCGCGGTACAATAAGCAGTGCTGAGTAACTTTGTTTTATGTAAGAGCAGCAGCTCTAGACATGTGACCAAAAGCTTGAATCTTACTGGTTGGTCAGTTCTCTTCGATTTATAATAATAAAAAAGATTAGAACACCTCTGTAAAAAATAAATAAATAAACATTGCATTGACACTTTGACAGCATGTCAACTTTATAAAGTTAACATCTGTTTATCGCACCGAATTTCCACACCAATATTAATTTAGTTGTGAACGGGCCTAAAGACACGCAACCTCAGGTAAAAGTTGTCTACTAAAATTTGCTAAAACTTTACATGACTTTTTGTAAAGTTGTTCATAGAACATGAACATTGTTTTGACTTTTTCAATTCATTACGAAAACATTCCATAAGCTTCTAAATGGCCTCGATCTCTAGTCTACCATGATGACTGAACCCATGCAGGCCGATGACACTCCATATAAACATTACACACAACTCAACTCTGAAAAATGGGTAAAACAATGAGCATTTTTGTAATCATCATGTAGTAATGAATATCAGCATGGATGCGAATATCTGCTTATATATAGTAGTAAAGAGAGAAGTTACTGCACAAATGAAAATGATGCATCTTGTCAAGCTAGCCACATGCATCAATTGTGCATGTGACTATATACTATAGCCATGCATTAATAAGTACCACTGCAAAGTTAGTTTCAAACTAATATCCACCTTTGTCGCTTTCTAAAACTACATGGCCGTATTTATTTGAACTAAGAAAAGCAAGGGACTGTTTTATTATGTATTGTGCAGACTAATTCATTTCCACTGCCAGCGCGCCCCCGCGCGCGCACACAGGAACACTAGCTGTGTCTAAAAGCCTGATGAACTGTCTACCCAGACTGCTTTTTGGAAATCAGATGAACATTCAGAACGTTCAAAAATTCAAATCGAACGTTAAAACGAGCCAAATATGCCGGCTACACAGACAGCTTACTAGGTTTTAAGACACAACCATTCACATTACACACATACAAATTGCCAAAGCACTTTACAGACTGCCACTTGTCCTGTGAGAGCACAAAATATCATATTATGAAATTAAACTCACGTTGTTTTAATTGGCACCGCCTCTAACTCAAATGGCTCATTTTACCGACACTATTTTTACAAATCTCATCAACTCACCATCGCTTCAACCAGTTCGGCCGCCATCTTCGCACAGCAGCCCCGCGAGAGCCTGAAGCGAAAGGCAGCAGCTGGCCAATGAGAAGCCGAGAAGGCGTTCGATGACCGCCACAAGTGTCCAATCAGCACGGCGGACTGTCCATAAGTAGGCGGGGTCGTTTGCAAAGAGGCGTGACGGCGAGCTTTAAAAGGGACAGTGTAGTCAAAAAAAGAAGCAAGGAAGCAAGGTCTACCCTTTCTGATAGGCCTCTGGTGCTTGTAAACCTACCCACCGTTGCCTGAACTTCACTGTCTGATTTGCCCACTTTAATAGTCTGGTGTTAGAGCGAAAGCACATTGCATTTTGCATTCAGATGTGATGTGAGAGGTGGGTTTCCCTCGACAAGTGGAAGAGGAGCGCATGGCTCCATCCGATCCATTCCGCATGAAAAAATCCATTTCATGAGTTTCAAAAAGCCGTGATATTGAGGACTGAATGCTTTGTGTAATTTCAGGCATAAAATGAATATAGAAGCACACTAAAGCTACTCATAAATATATCCACAAGCCCATCGCGTTTACAATGTATTGTGGACTATAACATAACGAGCATACTTGCTCATTCATGACAACTGGGTAGACTAGTCTGGAAAATCCACACGAGACTGAATCCAGAATCCTCAGGAAACTCCATCCCGTGGTTCTCTTGTGGTGGGGGAGGGGAAGCATAGAATGTTTGAGAACAATTTTGTTGAGGTAAATATCATGCGTGATAAGCAGAACTAGAAAAAAAAAAACAGGTAGGCCTACATTGCTCATTACACACGCCCAAAAAAAAAAAAAAGAAAACTAAATAAAATATACATACTTATAATTTGAACAAGAATACCTATCGTCAAGTCGTATAGTATAGGCCTACTATTTTGAAAAAAGGCCTTACTTGTTCAACATAACGATACTCCAAAACCGTATTCTGTGGAACAAAAATAAGTTGTTAGGCAGAATTGCCTCATTATAATGCCTTTCAATTTCATTGTACTGAAAACATACCAGGAAAATTAATAGTGACTAAGTGTGTCTCTTTTTGTGTTTTACTGAAGAAAAAAAGACGGGTTTTTCTCAACATAAAGAGGAATAAAAAATATGAATTGTATTGTTGGTGAACTCGTGTTAGTGGTATGGTAATCCTTTTGCCTAGCAGAGGATGGCGCTGCTGTCAATGATTATCTTCTTTTAAAACTTGTCTCCTTAAATTAGTGGTTTAAAAGAACTTCAAGAACTTGCGTGAAATAAATAAATAAAACTAATTTAGGGTGACATTCACAGTCAATTTGCGGAACCACGAGTCAGGAAACCATGAAATAAAATCAGGCTTGGCTCAATTAATGAACCAGTTGCAAAAGTCACCCCCGGGTTATTTATTTAAGACATTGATCTGCAAAGCTGACAGTGATTCTATTCCACCTGTTCCCCCACAGCATCCATGATAAGTCACTTCCCATGAGAAGGACTTCAGAATGTAGGCTACTTTAGGAGGAATATTAGAGGTGAAGATCTGTTAAAGTTTCTTTTTGTGGCATTAGGCATCTAGCGATCCGTAATTATACTATTTTCAGTCAAATTTATTTCAACAAAATTATAATAACTGTTCTCTTGAATGGTTGCATGTGAATAGAAAAAATCCATTTGTTTGCTAGAACCTTCCGTCTTTGTGAGTTGGAATTGTCACATTAAAAGCAGAAAAGGCCGATCACCTGTGCAGCTCTTTGAATCTTTTATTTTCCTTTTCCTTTCTTTATCTGTGTATTATAAGATACTGAAATTACAGGGCTGCATATAGCTCATGGAAGAGTGTGTGTGTGAGAGAGAGAGAGAGAGAGAGTAGTTATTTTAAGTCAAATATGCACATGAGTCATAGTGATATTCTGTAGTCCACATGTTCAAATGCTCCAACTATACCTTTTGAGTGAAGACATCACTCACTCGCGTCCCAGTAATATCTTTGTCCACTCCAGTGTCAGGTCAACAACAGACAAACAACCACACTAACAGAGGCTTTAACAGGAACACAGTTTTACATGTAATCCAATCACTACCTAAATAAGACCTATAATGAACTAATTGACAAAGTCTTTTAGTGCACTCATTTGGATAATCTGAAACCAATACAACATGCTTCACATAAAGACCTTTGGTAAAAAGACTTCAGGCAAAACTTTTTTAAAAAATTTATTTATTTATTTATTTGTTTTATTATGCAAAATAAGAATCTTGGTGCAGATGTTGACCCAGTTTAACACTTATATATATATATATATATATATATATATATAAATGTCAAAGCCAACAGAAAAATAAAGATAGTATTTTATTTATACATAAACTGAAACCAATAATGAGATACTTCCCAATCCCATTTCTGGTATGTGCTGCAGTGTTATGCAATGTCTTGTGGACTGTGAGTCTTAAATCTCAAAATAGTTTGTAAAATTAGCACCAGGGGCTATAAGAGCCACACTTGGTTGAATGACTAAAAGCTGACTTTACTTGCCATAATAAATTCTATGTCAAACTCAGGTCAAAGTTGTCTACTAAAATTTAAGATTTGCTAAAACTTTACATGACTTCAGTTGGTACTTTATAATATGTATTCTATGTTTAATTTAATATATTAAATTTATTTAGTAGACACTTTTACATTGTTTTATATTTTAAAATGTATTTTACAGTATACTTACACCAGATTTTATTTAAAGTATTTTTATCCATTTTAAAATCAATTTTAATTATTTTTAAAGAAAAGTATTATTTAAAGTATTGTCAGTAGTATTTTCTTTACAATAGACCTGAATGAAAAAAAAAAAAAAACAATGACAAATGGAAAAAAGAAAATTGTAATTTCTACATTGTACACAAGTTCTTTTTGAGAATTTCTACAACTCAAATAATAGAAAATGGTGCTAGCAATGGAAGGTCATGGGTTCAATTCCCATGGTAAGCATGCAGAAATATGAAATAAAGAAAATATACTTTTAGTCCAGTGTAAGTCACTTTGGATAAAAGTGTTTAAAGCATATGTGAATGTGAAATTTTATTGGAAACGCTCTCTTAATGTTTGGAATTAAAATAAAAGGTTGCATCAAATACGCCACAGTATACAGGTGAAACTCGAAAAATTTGGATATCGTGCAAAAGTTAATTTATTTCAGTAATTCAACTTAAAAGGTAAAACTAGTGTTTTATATAGACTCATTACATGCAAAGTGATTTGAGTGATTATCGCTTACAGCCTATGAAAACCTTCTGACAATATTCTAATTTTGACTTTGGGGTTTTCATAAGCTGTAAGCCATAATCATCAAAATTATAACAAATAAAGGCTTGAAATATCTCACTTTGCTTGTAATGAGTCTATATAATATATTACTTTCACCTTTTAAGTTGAATAACTGAAATAAAAACTTTTGCTCAATATTCTATTTTTTCGAGTTTCACCTGTACAGTATATTAGGCTACTTCAACTGTAAACTGTTGAACACAACAACAAAAAATCATAAATAAACATACTGCACTGCAATTTTTAACATTCATACTGACATTAGAGCATTAAAGTGGATTTTTAAAAATGTATTTAAGTTAAAGTAATCAAAAATACAGAATGCTTTTGTTTTGGTCCTAAAGACTTGACCCAAACAGGATAAACACACCCAGAGGTCATGTTGTACCACTGCAGCCACCACCCGAGACAATTTGTGTACATTAATCTGCGTAATCTCTCGTAATTACAAAGATTTGCTTGGGTTAATAAAAAATAATCCCCCTCAATTGGACCCCCTGCCTCTAACTCTCTTGTACCCCACTTTGTTTCTAATTACGTGGTTAAATATGCAGAGCATTTAAATTAAGTGGTGTTATCTCTCTGGTCATTGTGAGAGAAGTCTATCTAGAAGAAGGCTTTCTAGGAAGATTCGTAACTGGTGGTGTTGTTCGGTCTGAACAGGTGGCTAAGCGAACAAACACACAACTAAACAAACGTATTTACCTGTTTACTCGGTTTACGCATGCCTCGGAGACTGACGTCATCTGTTACCGAATTAATTGTTTGTTGGACTAATCTTGAACGGCGCTTCTTGAAAAGACAGAACGCACAAAGTCGAACCAGGACAAAATGTTAGTGGGTTCCAAAAATTTAATTTTCAACCACTAAGCGACAGAGATCCAACAATACAGAAATGGAGGACAACACATGCCGCAGCAATCGAGAACAACTGGGACTTCAGTTCACCATTGACTACCTATTGTACAATAAGGGACGCAACACTGAGAGCGCAGAATCAGAACACAATGTCCCTCCATCTGAATGTCTTCAAACCACAGTCGACGAAACCGAACAAAAAACTCTCTCAGAACAGGACTGCGAAAAATCGGAGGACCAGGAAAACGAAGACAACGAATGTGAAGAGGAACATGAGCAGGCGAGTGAGAAGAGTGAAGGAACGGATGAGAAGCCAACGCAGTCATACATCGCCCTCATTTCCATGGCCATCTTGGATTCAGAAGAAAAGAAACTCCTGCTGTGTGATATTTACCAGTGGATCATGGATCACTATCCTTACTTCAAAAGCAAGGTATTGTACCTTTGAAAGCAACTAAGCTCCCTCAAAGAGTTTATCGGCAATTTTGCAACAAATCTCTTGTCATAAAAAAAAGTCATGAATATATGATCAATAAGTTATGACATTTGTTTTTACATTGCTTTAACTAAGTCATTTTCAACTTTTTTTATAAGTTACACAAGATTCGACTCATTTTTAAGTCAGTTTAATGGAAGATAAGTTAAAATGACTTAAACATCCAAGTTGATTTTACTTAAGAAATTTGTTTTTACACTGCAATTTGTAATCACTACCAAAACATTTTTCTAATAAGTGCTAAGGAAGTCTACAAACCGTAATCCACTGCGTTTGGCAAAGCACTTCTTTAAAAGACCTACTACACAATGACAAGGCAACTCAAACCACAGCAAAATATTGGGATCTGATTTGACTATATCTAACAAAGTCATTGGATCTTTCTCTGTTAAACCAAGTTTGAATCCC